AAAAAAAAAAAAAAAAAAAAAAAAGAATGTCAATAAGCACAGAACCTTACTCAATTATGACAGATAAAGGTAGAAAGTGACAGCTCTATTTGTGTCATTAGAAAGGGTTTGAGTCTAGTTTTTTGGGGACTTTTTTGTTTGTTTTTGAGATGGAGTCTCACTCTGTACCCAGGCTGGAGTGCAGTGGCACAATCTCAGCTTACTACAGCCTCTGCCTCTGGGGTTCAAGCCATTCTCCTGCCTCGGCCTCCCAAGTAGCTGGGACTAAAGTTGCATGCCACTATGCCCAGCTAATTTTTGTATTTCTTAGTAGAGATGGGGTTTCACCATGTTGCCAGGATGGTCTCGATCTCTTGACCTCATGATCCGCCCGCCTCGGCCTCCCAAAGTGCTGGGATTACAGGCGTGAGTCATCGCTCCCAGCCCTGGTTTTTAAATTCTATATGATTCTGTTTCTCAGTTCTTATTCTTTTCCCCTGCCATAATTTTGACAATCAATGTAAAATAGAAGAGTAAGATTTTGTAACTCTTTGAAGTGAATTGGACTAGTTGGCCTTTGCTTACTATACCTGTTATTTAAAAAGAGTTTAATTTAATAGTACTATGAAGACTACAAGAGGGATGCTTCAAATACCTGAGAATTAACAGCTATATTTGAAAATCATTAATTAATAAACATTACATATATATTAAAATACATTTCCTAAGATATGTTTTCTCACACTGTTTGGAACACAGTACTATTGGAGTTCTTACAGTCTTTTACCTTAGAAAGACAGATTTTGAAACCCAGAGATGTTAAGTAACTTGCTCAGCATTATACTACTAGTAGCAGAGATAAAAACTGAATCTAAATTTCCTGAGATTGACAATCCATAATTCTCTACTGTCATTGTAAAGACAAGGCATTGTATACCTGTGTACTATGGGCTGGATTGGTCAGAGAGAGTTTTATAAATCCCTAGTTTCAAGCTAGAACTTAAAGAATGAGTAGGATTTAGATAGGAAAAGAGAGTGTGTTAATCCACGCAGGAAACAGAATGAACAAAAGTAGAGACGTAGAAACAAATACTATCTAGAGAATGAGCAATGAACAGCTACTCAGGTTAGGCCAGACTGATTAGAACAAGAGGTTCAGGTAGAAGGATAAGACAGGTAAATTGTGTAGAAATTTGAAGCCAGATTTTGAAAGGCTTTGCAATTTAGGCAGAACTACCCAATTTAGTTAAATTTGAAGTTTGGGTG